AAGAACTCAAGTGACTCCACCCACATTAGTAGATGCCCTAGATAGATGCCTCATCTGTTGTCTTGCTCATTTGCATGCTCTCTCTCGCTGCTTTCTCTGCTCTCTCGCTTGGTATTCATTTCGATTCTTTATCTCTCGCTTGGCACAAGTACGGCCTTATTTGGAGCGTTTTCATGGTTTCTTCTCCTTTTCTCTCCACGGGCAAGTCAGCTAGCACATTCACTTCTGTATCTGACCCCGCTACCGACGAAGCTTTCGCTGGCTGCCTTTAACGAAATTATCCACCTGGTCAGTTGCTACTCCCATGCTTTATAGTGTTTCAGTTTTTATTACTATCGAAACGTAAGGCATTATTTATTTTTGTAGACCTGAAGCAGGCCTACGGTCTCGTCATATGAAATAATAGAAAAATTTTGTTAACATAAAGCAATCGGACAAAAAAATGGTCAATGGAAAATTGCAAAAAATCTCATTATTACCTCCATTCGTTTCTCATCCAGCTTTTTCAGATCCTGTGAATCCAAATCAGTAGAGTTGTAGGCTTGCTGAAGACTGACTAGTGAAGGAGATCCCATCAAATTGTTCAAAAACGTGGACGTTGTATGGCTGATTGGAGACGACAACGAGCTCATACTCGTTGATCTGAAATTCTTATGAATTATACAGGGAACTCTAAAAAAGGCACTCAACATGGAGACTATCCCTAAAACCTTTTGGTGCTCTTCGGCTTGGTGGGGGCATTTTGCTGGTTCGCATCGGTCAATGCCGAGCACAAGCTTTGTCAACACTTGACAAGAGTTAACAAGTCTCATCAATGTGAGACGTGTAATTTCAGAGTAACTAGCAAAAGGACTAGGAACGCGTAAAATGCTCCCCCTAGGTCGTACAGATCCCTATTGTGTCAAAGACAGTGTAGCCTAATAATGCAGGCGTGTAAGGGAAAACTATACTCAGAAAAATTATGGGAAAAATTGAACACAACATGTCAAAACCAATTTCGACAATTTTTCTCAATGAGCACACCTGCTTCGTGAAGCAAGCACTCACGGAAAAATGCGCGATGTACTGATAAGATATCCAGAAGCATATTATTTATGAATCAGCCTCATCACTGATTGCGAAATAATGGCAAATAAAAGCACGCAGAAAGGAGGCAGGATTCAACTCAACTGGGAGAACGCCCAATCGAGCGCTGGAAAAGCTTGGCGATTCACTAAGGGGCATCTGTCATGGCAATATTGGCAGAAAATCGAACAACGGCTTGTTTTGCCCCTTCTAGACCCCATAAAATGCTTTCGTGGAGCAAACTGCACCGTTTTCACGTCTGATTTCACCCGGTTTAATGTGCGTCGCAGCGCCTCTTCTCTTGATGGGACAAACCTCAGCGGCAGACCATACCCACTCGACTTCGAGTATAAGTTAGAGACATACCCGCCACAAA